TTCATGACTATACATACTGTATAGAGACCCTGCGTACGTTTTCTCCAGTTGGAGAGATCCTATTTGTTCTGCCCTGATTAACGCTATGGCTGCAGTCATCACTTTCATAGACTTTTTGGGGGCCCAGCAGGAATGAGGCTGTTTCCGAAATGTCAGTTCCAGCAGTTCCAACAGCCATGAATCAGAAAGTGCAAAATTGTGGGAAGAGTCGTAGGTCCCTGCTGCAAGCTATATAGAAACACCTGGAGGGCTACGTATGGCTTATATCTCAGGGATTAATCATCTCAGTTAGGTAGGCAGGCAGGTAGGTAGACAGAGGGAGGGGGAAGAGAGAAAGAGAAAAAGAGAGAAAGAGAAAGAGGGATGGGAGGAAAGTCTCATCTGACATATTCCCAAAAATCTATAATTAATACTGGAGCATGAAGGATAAAGTCTCCTTCAAGTCACAATTCAAGGATATGTCCACAGAGCTTTCTTGACCTTTTCCACATTGAGTTTTTTTTAAAAAAAAATAAATAAAGAATCTCCCCAGTCTTGTATACAGCTCAAGGGTCCTCTGGTTATCTGCCCAAACTAGGCCCGAATTTTCTTAGCTTTCCCAAATCAAGCAACGTCACCTTAAACCATTGAAATTGGTAATAATATACAACCCAGGTTTGATGGATTTTAAACTCCTAGGTTTTGAATATCGAGTAAATCAAACTTCCTAATAATAACAAACTATACTGATCTCTGGGAAAATATTAGAACAATATCAAATTTAACATTCAGTCTATATTGTACACTTTAAACATTTAGTTCCTATAAGAAAGATTTCTTTCTTTGCCACTAGAAGGCAGCCTATACCATTCTGCAAAACACAGAATAAGAATTCCCCAGAACAACGAAGCAGGAGGGGCTGTGTTTCTTCACACTTCAGACAGAAAATTTGAAAATGATAAAGGACACCACAAATTCCATTAATTTGCTTTAATATTTTACATTTTTTCCGTTCAGGAAAACCTCTTTTAACAACCGTTAGTTCAAGGCAAACAAAATTGCCAGTTTGGGATCAGTTTTCTTATGGAAAAGCTACAAAGTGTTAATTTAGTGTTGATATAAGAAGCCATTTTTCAGAAAGCTCTCCAAAGCCATGTCAAATTGCCATCCTATTTTTAATAACTTAAAAATGGTAGCAAAAAGGGAATAAATCTCTGTACCAATTTATTCTAACAGCAGTGACACAATATTTTCTCTCTAATTATGCTTTACAGTATTACTGGATAATAAAACATATAAAGCTCAGATGTTATGCCAATGTCCTGGCCTAATTGTCCACAGAATGGTTGGATGGAATTTATAATTTCCCATCTGTAAATTAACAAGCAAACAGAGCAACGTACTCTCATTTTAGAGAAAGATCTAAGCAGGTAGATGGATGGATGGATGGATGTAGGGAGGGAGGGAGGGATGGATGGAGGGAGGGAGG